CCGTGAGACTCTTATCTCCAAGGAACCACCAGAAAACTGGAAGTGGCGCTGTGGCTCAAGTGGTAGAGCGCTCGCCTTGAGCTGAAGAGCTGAGGGACAGCGCCCAGGCCCAGAGTTCAAGCCCCACGACCGACAAAAAAAACCATCCGTGAGACTATTTAACTCCAATTTACCACTAGAAAACCTAAGTGGAGCTCTGGCTCCAAGTGGTGAAGCACTAGCTTTGAGCAGAAGAGCTCAGGGACTGCTCCCAGTTCAAGCCCCCCACCCCACCCCCAAAAAGTTGGCAGCTCATGTCTGTAATCCTATAAAAAAAAAAAAGTTGTCAAGTCCCATGTCAACATACAAGCTACACATGAGGACATCCGCAATGCTGACTCAAGGTATATGGGAAGCGTGAGGGTAAACCAAGTCAAAAAACCCCAAAACAACAACAAAAAAAAACCCAACCAACCAAAAGAACCTCAAGACCCTCTGGCAAAAAGGCTAGAAGTTATGACCCAGTTGATAGAGCAACTCCCTAGCAAGTGTGTGAGGCCTTGAATTCAAACCCTAGTACCAACAAAAAAGAAAAACCAACCACAACACAATTTTACTTTGTGCCTAGTAAAGAACAGCAAGTACAATCCGCTGCTGGAGTGCTATGGGAAAATCTAGTCTAAAGGGAGGAAACAAACTGATACTTTTACACCAAAATCTATGAAGTATATTTACTTCTACCATACAACTCAACCTACACAAAACATACTAAAATGACAACCATGAAAAGATTCACAGGATATTAACTTTACAGTTTTTTTTTCTAACAGTGAACTTAATATGGAACCACTAAGATTGTGGGCCAGGCTTGGTTAAGTGTACAATGGCATAGCCATATAGCATGTAATTATGAAAAAGTGACAGACACCAGATCTGTATTTACAGAAAGACATGCACAAAATGTTGGAGAGGGAAAACAATTCACAAAACTGAACTGGAGGGGTTGGGAAGGTGGCTCAGTGGTAGAGCGCTTGCCTTGCATGCCTGAGGCCCTGGGTTCGATTCCTCAGCACCACATAAGCAAAAAGAAAAAAGCCGGAAGTGGTGCTGTGGCTCAAGTGGTAGAGCGCTAGCCTTAAGCTGAAGAGCTGAGGGACAGCGCCCAGGCCCAGAGTTCAGGCCCCACAACCAGACCCCAAAAAACAAACAAACAAGCAAACAAAAAACCTGAAATGGATGACTCTATATAAACTAATTGTGGAGCAGGGCGCTGGTGGTTCCCCCCTGTAATCCTAGCTACTCAGGAGGCTGAGATCTGAGGATCACGGTTCAAACCAGCCCTGGCAGAAAAGTCCATGAGACTCATATCTCTAATAAACCACTAGAAAGCTGGAAGTGGTGCTGTGGCTCGTGATAGAGTGCTCGCCTTGAGTTGCTTTCCCAAATGGGGTTACCTGTGTGGAGTTTTTGTCCAGTTTCTTTCAGATAGGGTCTACATAGACCATTGGCCTCATGTAGCCCAGGCTGCCCTCAAACTCAATCCTCTTGCCACTGCTTCTCAGGAACTGACTGGGATTACGGATGTGCACTTGGGTGCAGCACCTAGAAGTCTTGAACTCACAATCTTCCTACTCATCCTCTTTGCCTTGATTACCCACCATGTGCTTACTGCTGGCACTTGCTTTTTATTAATTTTTATACCTCATTTTTGTTATTTTTATAATACAATTTTCAAGTATTTTCATTTTTAAAAAGCCACCAAACCCATAAAGTATTAATATTTTTATTATGGCATCAAAGCAGTATTTTATACATTAACTCAGTTTACTGTAAAAACATTTTATGTACAACTGCAGAGAAACCATTACATTTATGCTAACATAAAAAATGGGTTTAATTTAAAAAGTACATTGATACATAAATTGGAAAATATTTTCTCTGTAGAAAATGGTAACATTTCCCCATTTAAACCAATAGTAAATGAATTATGCATTTATAAATATGGTTTGAACTCTGAGATCTACAAAAAACATTAACTTCAATTACTGAAAAAGCTGTGCTGGTCAGGAGCCAGTGGCTCATGCCTGTAATCCTAGGTACTCAGGAGGCTGAGATCCAAGGACTATGGTTTAAAGCCAGCCTATTAAGAAGTCCAAGGGGATCCACCTCCAATTAACCAGAAAAAGGTGGAATGGAGGTATGGTTCAGGTGATAAAGCATCAGCCTTGAGTGAAAAGCTGAGTTTTGCTTGAGGTCTTGAGTTCAATCATTGGTACTAATAAAAAAAAATCAAGGAGGTGGGATGGGGTGAGTGACAGAGGGAAGAATACTTTTCTTAAAATTAAGTTGTATACTTAAAATTCCTATTAATCTTCCCTCTTTTTTATGCCTGGTCATTTTACTTTATGTTGTTCCATAATCTACATGTTTATTTTAGCTGTTCCTTCACAAGGAGCAGGTACTGCAACCTTTTAATTTGCTTGACACATAATCCATTCTTATCCAGACTGGATATTTTAGATACTATTATAACATGACCAGTATTTGGGACAAAACCAGAATCTAATAAATTATAACCCACAAGGCACATGTAGCCTACCATCAAACATCTTCCCTAACTCCCTGTAGCTTGATAAAAAGCCACAAAACACAGGAATAAAGTGAAAACAAAGGACTCAGAAAATAAAAGTGAGGAGAGAGCAAGGGAAGGCCCAAAACTGTCCAAAAAGAAATGTACTTATTACCTGACTTATGTAACTATAATCTCTACATCACTTTTATACTAACAATAAAAAATGCCAAGAGAATTCTGAAAACAGGGTAGGAACCTGTCTCAGAAATCAGGATAAAGTGGCTGTCAAAATCCCTTACTGCAAGGAGACCAAGTAGTGAAACCAGATATAGAAACAAGAGCCTGTAAAGAGTTTAGTTGTTCAAACTAGTTGAGAATGGCAGACTGTCATTTAAATTTTCCTGCATAGCTTATTCTAAGACCCCTCCAGTAGAGAACTTCCAGAAACTAAGGTAAGAAGACAGTAATACCCTTTAAGCTTCTATGCTATGCAGAATGTTTTCCAAAGAAATTATGTCCAAGTCATTTGTCTAGCACTAGATTCATTTCTTCAGTTCCTGCGAAGCAACAACATAAAATAACCATAGAGCTGTCTTCAAAAGGAGTGTCTAAGCAGTGAACACTTCTGAATGGAGAAATACTTTTAACAGAGTAGATCCTATGTTGTAACTTAAGATCTAGGATAATGAAAAACAAAAATCAGACTGTATTACTACCTAAAAGTCCCAGATTGCATACTGTAAGTTAACCTCTTGAACACTCATGATCCATTAAAAGAACACTTTGGCACGTACGTAATTTTTACACTCATTCCTTTCTTTGTGCTTCAGTTGTGATTATCTCCTTTCACGAAAAGAATGTTTTCATCTGTATATAACTAAGACCCTTGGTCTCTTAATTCCTTACAGTAGATGATGTTAACCTTTTGAAACGGCATTTACCCAGACTCCTAATTTACAAAGAAACTATGGAGCCACCACACACATTTGAATTTAAGCTTAAAAACACTGGCTTTATGTTCAAAGGTACTTCTATATACACTATTGTGAACAATTAGATGAAGCCTGAATCACCTTGTAAAGAGAAACTAAGCATATCAAAATGAGCACAACTATGGGTAATCCATAGAGTATATTTCATTTCCCCAAATTTAAAAGAGACAGGCATAAACTATAATACAACTCACCTAAGTCTGAAACCTCATTTCAAAACACTGCTCACCATTAATTCTCAGGAGATACAGTATAGGACACCAGGAGTAATTGCTTGGCAAAAGGCCAAGGAATATTGAAAGAACATTATTCTTTGGGGGACAGGGAATAAAACTTTGTGAGAGGGCACATACTTAGTATATGTAAGATTCTGGGTTCAATCCCCAGCACTATGAAAAAAAAAAAAAGATAGATTAACCTACAAATACAGAAAGAAACATGATTGACTCAATCTTGTAACATACAGACAACACCTTAGAATGTAAATGCAATACAAGATGACAAGTTGAGAAAAGCGGTAGTAATAAAGATGCAAATGCTAACAACCAGATAAGACAGTTTGGATGAAGCCTGTCTCTGCAAGGGATGAAGACCAAAGGCAGAACACTTCTTTGGACTGTGTGAGAAATAGCATTCATGTGGCCCAACAGTTGTATGTCTTCTACTTCTCACTGACCAAATGCTTTACTGAAACTCCGCTTCTGCCCTCTATTACTTTGGTTGCCACCTGACTGCTGTCCCCTGAAACTTCTATTTCCGCCCCGCTGTCCCCTGAAGTTTCTGGTTCCGTTCCGCTGTCCCCTGAAACCTCGGCTGCCATCTCGCTGTCCCCTGCCACCTCGGCTGCCATCTCGCTGTCCCCTGCCGCCTCGGAATCCTTCTGGTGGTCCTTCCAGCTCTGGTTGCTCTGTGGCCACAGAGAGCTGCCAACGTCGTGAGTCATGCCATTTCTCCTGTTGAGAGAAGGTTTTGTTCTTATCTACTCTGATTTTTACTAAATTTGGAAAAGGCATTAGAAAAATATTTTTCAAAAGAGAATTGGACCCAACATAACTGTAACCCTTCTGTATGTCACCCTATAACAACAATAAATTCTTTTTTTAAAAAGACATAAAGACACAAACACACACATATATACATAGAACAACCAGGTTGATAACTAGTGCTTTAAAGGTTGTTGGACTAGTAACAATGATCCTCTCAGCCCAAAAGCCATTGATGTCTGGAAAGACACATTTCACAACAAGAGGGAGCCCTTATCACAACATTATAGTCCAACCAATTACTAGACTTTTAACAGCAGTCAAAAGTAATGAAACAAATTATGAGGCTGGGTGTCAATGACTTGAACCTGTACTCCTACTCAAAGAGGCTAAGATCTAAGGATTGAGGTTCAAAGGCAGCCCATGCAGGAAAGACTCATTTCTAATTATTACCAAAAAGCTAGAAATAAGAGCTGTGGGTCAAGTGGTAGAATGCTAGCCTTGAACAAGAAATCTAAGGGACAATCAGTGCCCAGGCCTGGAATTCAAATTCTAAGATGAGCGCGTGCATGGGCATACACACACACACACACAAACACACAAAAGACACACAGACATACTGCAATCTTGAATTAAGATGGACAGTTTTAAAATGTATATAAAAACATGTGCAACACAGAGTGACCTGTGGGGAAGTGTAGGATGGACAAAATGCAGGATCAACAAAAACATAACAGAAGAAGAAATAAAATTATAAATTTAGGGGGCTGGGAAGGTGGCCCAGTGGTAGAGTGCTTGCCTTGCATGCATGAGGCCCTGGGTTCGATTCCTCAGCACCACATAAGCAGAAAAAGTCGGAAGTGGTGCTGTGGCTCAAGAGGTCGAGCACTCACTTTGAGCTGAAGAGCTGCCCAGGCCCAGAGTTCAGGCCCCACAACTGACTCAAAAATAAATTAAAAAAAAAAAAAAAAAGGTATGCGTGTGTATAAAAACTTTAGAACCTGACTTTTAGTAAAGGGATTGATTTTGGCAATTGTGTCTCATAAGTGTCTCATAAATTCTGTATTTTTATAATAAACACTTTACAATTTAGTCACATTAGCTGTTAAGTTCAAGAGGAAATACCTGTATTTCTGTGACAGCTGCAGTACGTACATCAAAACAAACACCCTAGGAAGTAAAGAAAATGAAGTTAGTCCAAGGAGAACAAACTGAATGATACTGCAAACCACAGGTATCATGTAAAAAAAACACATTTAATTTTTAGATGAACTTTAGATCAACACCAACATATTGCAGCTCCCCGAAGTCCAGGGGGATTTCTAAAAGGACTAAGAAGGATCTAGAATTAGATTCTTAGCTCTAACACTGTGCAAGCCCTGAAGTAGCTATTAGCTTCTATATATACATATATATTATTTTATCAATCTAGCCATTGTCGAAGTCCTTTTAAGTTATGACAGGAAACCAGAATGGCCTCCTCTTTGGTTGGCACAGCTGAGACTCACAGCTGTGAAGTGGAGCGGTACTTAAAAACACGGTCTTGCTGGGTGCTGGTGGCTCATGCCTATAATCCTAGCTACACAGGAGGCTGAGGTCTGAGGATCGTGATTCAAAGCCAGTCCTGGCAAGAAAGTCCCTGAGACTCTTATCTCCAATTAATCACCAGAAAACTGGAAGTGGCACTGTGGCTCAAGTGGTAGAGTGCTAACCTTGAACTGAAGAGCTGAGAGACAGCACCCAGGCCCAGAGTTCAAGCCTCATGACCAAAACACCAAAACAAACAACAAACAAACCCAGTCTGAACCAGGGCCCTGGTGTCTCATCTCTGTTAATCTGGCTACTCAGGAGGCTGAGACCTGGAGTATGGAGGCTCAAAACCAACACAAGCAGAAAAGTCTGTGACACTCTATCACCAATTAACCATCAAAAAGCCAGGCTGGAGGTGTGGCTTACGTTGTTAAGTATTAGTGATGAATAAGCCCTGTTAGCACAAAACAAGCAAACAACAACAAAAAATCCATGGCAAGGCTCTAAAACCATTACCACCTACTGATTTCCATTTTCTAACAGGAAGGGTCAACTTAAAGCAGAAAAATTAAAGATCTATTGCTAAGTTATAATGTTTCACACAATTTGGCCTCCTGAGATAGTGTGAGAAGTTTCCAGGATCAATCTTTGATAAGTGCTTTCTCTGCCAGTCAAGGAAGCTAAGCACATGTCAAACTACGGCTGTACAGGTATCACTCCTCTCTTTGCCATCTTTAACTGCTGTATTTTGGCTCAAGTGGTACAACACATATCTAACAAATCAATACACTGGATTCAAACCCTAGCTCCATCAAAACAAAACAAAACACAAAAATATTCCTGTTTTTTTTTTTTGCCTGTCATGAGGCTTGAGCTCAGGGCTAGCACTCTACCATTTGAGCCACACTCATTTATTTGTTTTTTTTTTTTTTTTAATTGAAGATAAAAGAATCTCAGACTTTTCTTCCCTGGCTGGCTTTGAAGCCTGATCCTCAGATCTCAGGTCCTGAGTAGCTAGGATTATAGGCATGAGCCACCAGTGCCTGGCTCCAGCAGAATTTTATGAGAAACATTCCTTCTATCCAACCATTTTACTCATCACAGGTATCATCAGGTACTGACAGATTCTGCCATTAGTGGGTCTTTTCACTCACATACTAAGTATTTCAAGTAGTAACTACAAAGCAGGATTTGCCCTAGAGTATGTCATTAGGCTTTCACTTAGGAAGCACAAACATAGCAAGGTAAAACATATCTGAATTAAAGTTACATCCTAAAAATGCTCAAGTGCAGCTATGAATGCTTGCTAACCTTGCCTGGTAAGCTTCTCATGGAGTTAAAGCTAAAAAAAGTCATTAAGAACACTAGAGGGAGAAACACTAAACAGTATACGTCTAGCCTGCACTTTGGATGAGAAGACAATACACTACCTGACCACTTGGCTTATCTTTCTACAAGCACAATAACTTTTGGGATAAATCTAAATTCGTTCACTATACCAGTGGTTGTCCATGTTTGACCCCATGTATCTCTAGCCCTTCAAGGATTCCACAAAGTCAAACTATTTTCACAGCCGTATTTATGCATTTATCAGTCTTCTCCTCTCTCATTCTCCTATAGAGTTACAGTGAAGTCTGGAATAAGTAAGGATATGATATTTTAGTTGTAAAGGTGTAACTGAATATACATTAGTTAACATGTGGAAATGTGTAGCATTATTTGCAGAATGACTTAGAATGCAAACAGATAGTAGTCACCACTAACCAAGTGGCAATTATCATGGAAAATATCACTCAGGGACTGAAAACTGAAGAATGTCCCATGTGAAGGGGCAAAACACCATCCTGCATCCCTGATCACATTAAGTAAGCTATATATCACAACAGAGGTCCTAGACTTACCAGCTTTCCCTTGAGGAAGACCATTCCCTTTATTTTGGAATCGATGCTCTCGCCTAGCTGCTCCTTAAGTTCTTTCCAAGCATAACTAATGTTTGGCATTTCAATTGAGCACTGCAGGATCATGGTCACAAAACCCTAATGGCAGAAGGGAACAGAATTAGTGCAAATAAAACTATGGAAACCAGCAAAATTCGTGCATTATATCAATGTCAATATCTGGTTGTGAGAAGTTTTGCAAACCATTACCACTGTAGGAAAATGGACAGAGTATACAAGAAATTGAATAATGTTAATCCTTAAAACTGCATGTAGATCTATAATCAGCTTACTGAAATTTTAAAATTTCAATTTATAAAAGAAAAAAAAGCATATACCTTCTAAAGTTCTAGATATGCTACTAATATACTTATATTGCATTTATGGATATATATTTTAGGCTCTTAAGAATTAAAAAAATTACCAGGGCACCAGTGGCTCACGCCTGTAATCCTAGGTACTCAGGAGGCTGAGATCTGAGGATCGCATTCACAGCCAGCCCAGGTAGCAAAGTCCGTGAGACTCTTATCTCCAACAAACCACCAGAAAACCGGAAGGGATGCTGTGGCTCAAGTAGTGGAGTGCTTGCCTTGAGCTGAAGAGCTCAGGGACAATACCCAGTCCCAGAGTTCAAGCCCCATGACTGACAAAATAAAGTAAAAAGAATTAAAAAAAAAAAAACAAGAGCCGGGCGCTGGTGGCTCACGCCTGTAATCCTAGCTACTCAGGAGGCTGAGATCTGAGGATCGCGGTTCAAAGCAAGCCAGGGCAGGAAAGACCGTGAGACTCCAATCTCCAATAAACCACCAGAAAACCAGAAGTGGCGCTGTAGCTCAAGTGGTAGAGCACTCGCCTTGAGCTGAAGAGCTGAGGGACAGCGTCCAGGCCCAGAGTTCAAGCCCCACGACCGA